AAAAATGATACCATGTATTTAGCAAGATTGTGATATGCTACCCAAAAGATTGTATCAAATCTCAGCAATTTGAACCAAGAAATCAGGAAGAAAGTGTCCGAAAGCTCAAACTGTTGTCTACGTTAGTCGAAATAAAATTATGTGGATTTTTAATATATAAATAATGGTTGGGTATGGTAAAAAATAGGCAAATAGGCTCTTGAAATAGGCAAGTTTTATTAAATGCGTTGATAAAAGAAAATGTTTAAATTTTTTTTCAGTTTTCTGTCAAGCTTAATTTTATTAAAGTTTTTTATATAAGAATTAATTTTGAATAAATTTATTTCCATATATACATCATTTTTGGCTTCACCACAAAATATTTGTTGCTTTCATACTAACGGAAATTATGTGCACTTAAAGTAAGATCTTCAAGTGAAGTAGTATGAATAATGCAGTACTTTCTAAGCCATTTGTTCCTAAAGCTGCAATAACAATTAAATGTCGACATATTGATGCTAAAACTGGATTAGATTGTTCATATGACAAAAAAGACTTAAATAATCAGTCGCAGAATGAAAATGATGTAGACGGATCTTCACTTGAAACTTCTAGTAACGATTCCGGAGACAACAACTCAGACGACGAAGGGGACGACGACAACCTAAAAGGAAAGGGAGACGGTGATTTTAATTTCGACAATTTAAAGGATTTAAGAGAATTTCGTAAATCACATAATTTACAACATTTATTTCATTTAAGTTTATTTAGAAGCGGAGACTACACTTATCCAACTGAACTTGGATATCACACATTATTTGCATCTGTCAGGTATAGAGCATTTGAGAAGCCGAAAATTGATAAAGCTCTATTCAAAATGAGAAATGTCCCTGAAGAAAACAAACATATAAAACACAGTGACCATGAAGGTCATAAAGATGTGGTGGCAAATAATTATTTTGAAATTCCAAACTTACAGCAAGGTAATTTTTATAATTATAAATTGTAATTTTTACAAAAATTAAAAAGCCATGAAATTTTTTCAGAGTTAAAGAAGAGAAATAAATTTATTGACTCTATGCCACGTACAAAACCACTACAAGTCGAAGGAATACAATTTCAAAACTTTTCAATGCCTTACAAAACACCAAATGATCCACAGCAGGCCTTAGCAACACCACAGCATTTACCTATTATAGATATTACCGAGAAACTAAAACGGGAGCTTTTACATTGCATGCAACAAAACCTTTTAAGCGGCTGTTGTACGGGATGTTGTAATGAACCGACCAGCTGTGGATGCGATCCATGCTGTGGTTGCCCATTGAAATGTGGTTGTTGTGTTAATATCCCACGTGGTCCTTATGGTCCATGTGGTGCATTTGGGTCATGTGGACCATGTGGACCATGTGGACCATGTGGTCCATGTGGTCCTTGTGGGCCATGTGGCCCATGTGGTCCATGTGATCCATGTGGTTCATGTGGTCCATGTGGTTTATGTGGTCCATGTGGTCCATGTGGTCCAGGTGGCCCATGTGGTCCATGTGGTCCATGTAGTCCATGTGGTCCATGTAGTCCATGTGGTCCATGTGATTCATGTGATCCGTGTTGTTCAGGCAACGGTTGTTGTGGTCCAAGTCCATGCGGCCCAAATCCATGTTGGAAACCTATGTGTTGTGATGCTTCAAGTGCATTCCCATGCTCCGTTCTAAATATTGATTGCAGTTGTGGGTATTTTAATTGCTGTGCAGGACCCAGTTGTAATGGCTTTCTGTATTGCCAAACTTTCAACCGCTGATCAGAGTCACCGAAAATGGTAAGTAGTTTCAAGTGCATTTTCCAGTGCTCCGTCTTAAATATTGATTATAACTGTGTTTATTTTAATTGTTGCACGGGATTTAGATCTAATCGAGGGTCTTGTGATATTAATAATTGTTATGTGGTAATTATCAAGCTTACGACTGCTGTAAATGGTGAGTAGAATAATTGAAGAAGTTTAAGTAATTTAGAGTTTCAAAAAAATGGTTAAAAATTGCAAATCGTCCAATCCGTACTATATACGAATATTATGTAAATGGAACTAATTAATTATAAAACTTTCTGTTAATTAATTTCGTTGATTTTTTTTATAATGCTAAATTTGGAATGTTCATCTATCTTGGCGGCACGTTCAGAGCATTGACTTTATAATATTGTTTAATTGAAACTATATTCAAGTCTTTATATTTATAATATTTACGTTTCTTACGTATTGTGGTGCTTCATAATTTTTTGGGCGAATTTGTTACCTAACTGTTTAGAATCAGACACAAGATATTATTGATAAATTCCATAATTCTATATATTAGTTACTTAATATTCCCACCATTAAATGGTATGAGTACCATCTTCGTTGTGAGTCTTAATATTATATTGCTGTTTTTCGTAAATTACTGTACGTGTTATTTGAGATTTGAAGCTAATTAGAAATTCGATCCATAGTTTTGCATTAGTAGAGTGTACTTTTCTTAGTAATCAGGTTTCTTAGATATATATCTCGTTCTAGAAAGTTCTGTGTTATGAATTGTTCTACTTAAATTCCAGGCCTCAGTTTCTGTAGAGTGCATTTAGCTTCTCAGCGATCTTTATGTTTCAATAATTGGAAATCGTCAATAAAGGAGCTATGGAGACTGATCTGAAGATTAAGAATATTGAAAACATTAAGAATATTAATGTTAACTCTTATTTTGAGTAGATTAAGTAAAGACATATTATTTTATTTTTGTTATCATTCCAGATCCGTGTCGTTTCTGCAGACAATATAATTGGTTTTGTTAAATTCTTATTAAAGTTTATGAAAAGTACCTTCGATGAATATAGACGTACATAGCATATAGACTCGTTTAAGACAAAACAAACTTATTTAGATCTAATTTACATCTATTGTAACATCTATTAGATCCTATTCTAATTTAATTCAGTTCAAATCTTATATTTAAATTATGCATATAAGTTAAATAGAATAAAAAAGGAAAGGCCTTTTTTGGTTTTATTCGTTTATAAAATTGAATAAGAATTTGTATTTGTAAAAACCTTACCTTTATAAATATTTATTGTTTTATTTGTTTTTATTTTTTATTTTTGTTTTTCCTGTCAATTGTAATTAAAAAAAATATTAACATATTCAATTCTCATATTTAATTTATCCTTAATAATGAATTAAATTGCAAAATTTTAGTGATTCCTGCATAGGGTAAGACCATCATTTCCTATATGCACTAAACTATCACTGTGGACGGTATATTGTCTAGTCTGAAATGTGTGAACGAAAATATTAGGAAAATATAAAAAATAATATTAAAAAAATATATTAAAAATGTGTGCCTGTGATTATTAATTTATGCGTCCATGGGTTGTGAATGATCAATATCAAACACAATACAGACTTGCACGAAGACTATAACTGTTGACAAATTTATCAAAATGGGTTTACTCAATAAAGATGGAGTAAGAACTTCAGTGTCAGAACCAGCAGTATCGACAGGACAACAAAGTCAGAACACTAAAATTGAGTTTCCACCCTACGAAGAAGAAAGTTTACCAACGACTACACCGCTGAATAAACAAACGAATAACAATGAAGTGCTTAAACGAGAACTAATTGACTTATTGACGAAGACTAATAAAAAAAATCGTTGTTGTTCTAAGCAGCAAAATTGTGTTCAACCACCGCCACCAGCACTAGTTGGTCATGAGAGAGAAGGCTGTATTTTAGATGATATTGTGCACTGCATAGATTCGACGCTCGATCTGACTGATTCTGATGAATGCTGTTGTTGTTGTTGTTGTTCTTGTTCTTGTTCTGAACAACATAAAAACTCAGACACCAGTATGAAGACATTATATACCAGAACGAAACATACTAAAACAAACGAGTGTCCGATCCCTATGTATCCTGTCGTCATGTGCTGTATACCACAAGGGGCACAAAATTATAAATGTGACCCATGCTGTTCATATTCAAAAATATCACATGCAAGGTTGTCATTTTTAGATCATTGTAAAATTACACCCGATATGTCTTGTTGTCTTGAGAATAAGGAAGGAGGCTGCTGCTGTTGCCGCAAAAAGAAAAAAGAACCTCAAAACTGTCAAATCATTTTTCAACCTTGCAATGACAATAGAGCACAAAATTACAATTCATACACATTGCGAAACGTAACTTCTGACCCTAAATATAAAAAAAATTCCGGACTGTGTTGTTGCGTTAGTTCCAGTTCCAGTTCCAGCTCCTGTTCTTGTTCAGAGAATTCTGGAAATGAAAGTAATGGCGAAGATAACGGTTCGTGAGTTTCTTACTGTTAAGGGTAAGTTCTGCTTTTTTTTATAACAATTACTAAATAAATAATAAACGACTATTATGTTGCGGAACTATAGTAAAAACTTACGACTATAGCGTAGTAAATGTTGTAGTCTACTAATATCTGTAATAGTCTACTAAGATTTTGCAGATTGCAGATTAGGCCGTTAAGACCAAAGTGCTGAGATCCCCACTGCAATAATCAAGGTTAAAAATACATGTTAATGGAATATATTATACATTTAGAAATTTTAATTTATCAAGACAAAGTAAATAGATCATACTAAAGACAGAAGGTTATATGCAGTAATTCTATAACGTTGGAGCGAACGTGGTTGCTATGAAACACAGAAATATTATCAAGAATCTGTGTAGACAATGTTACGAAAACAGTAGTAATGTAGGGGGTTGATGAGTGGAGATTTCATACCACTGAAGCAGATTAAAGATATTGGTGGTGCTTGTACCTTAAAGAGAGCAAAAAAGTAAGCTAACCAAAACCTGTAAACTAAATGTTTGATATTGGTATTAAAGATGTTTTTGTTTAGGAAATCTCGATTGAGTTTGATAGAGCTTTTGTAGTTATTTTGATGAATCGATATTAATAAAATACTTTTTTGGTTGTAAGAAGCTCGAGTTTCGGAATTCTATATGGGTAAGTACACAAAATAAGAAAAGTGCCATAAGGAGCATTTACAATAAGATCGTTTGTTGATCCTAGTAGAGGCAGGTCAAATAGGAGATAGATGAATGATGATGATGTTAAAATAATTTATTAGGAATAAAATTAGCAACTTGTTTAAAAAGTAGATGTATTTTAATGAATTAAAGGAAATTTTTTCATATTTAAGGTGATTTTCTCTGTAAATACATTAAATCATTCAACACATCTGTGCGTGTTATAAAACGTGTTGTTCTTTATCATAAATAATTTATTTACACATCCAAGTTTTTAGCGTCAAAAAAAAGTAAAATTTTCTTTTTTATATATACTTTAAATAATTAATAATAAACTAATATATTTTGAACTATATTTATATTTTCAGGAAGAGTGCAAAAAGTATTGTAGAATGCATTGAGGCAAACGCGGGCTAATAAACGAATTAAAACGGTACATTTTGGACAATTGGAACCGAAACAGTTAGGTTGAGGAGTCAAAGGTTGTACAGAATGTACTAAGTTTTAAATTCTAAAAAAATCAATTTAGACAGTATATCAAAATCGACCGTGCAAGATCAACACATAAACATAGATAGTAAAATAATAAAGTGATTTAAAATAATCTGCTACTATTGCGTTGCAATTTTTGAAGAGTAAATTAAATAAATATTAAATATGGGTTGTTGTGAACGCCCGGTTTGTGCGGCCCCCTGTTCACCATGCTCTCCATGCTCACCATGCAGTCCTTGCGGACCATGCGGGCCTTGTGGACCATGCGGACCTTGTGGTCCATGCGGAGGATGCGGACCATGTAACCCTTGCGGCCCATGTGGACCATGCGGACCATGTGGACCTTGCGGACCATGTGGACCTTGCGGACCATGTGGACCTTGCGGACCATGTGGACCATGTGGACCTTGCGGACCATGTGGACCATGCGGACCATGTGGACCTTGCGGTCCATGTGGACCTTGCGGACCATGCGGTCCATGTGGACCTTGTGCACCCTGTGGACCATATTCAGTATGCAGCAATGATTATTACAGACGAGAGTATTGTACAAACAACTGTCTGGTAACTCGCTACAATTGCCATAAAACATTACCACCAAATCATTTTTGCGGATGTAGAGATTACTGCTGCCGCGTATGTTACTGAAAGGAGTTGCACTTGAAATCTTTGAACGTACAAAAATATACATGGGTAAGTATTAAGCATTTCTATTATTTATAGTTAAGTCTTTTTGTTAAATTAAACACGTATGTTTGATATTTCATATACACTTTTTTATTATTAGATTAAAGTAAAGTAAAGTACTTTACGTGTATTTGAAGTAAAATACTAAAAGATATTTGGTAATCTAAAGTAATCATTATTTGTATATAATCATCTGGCAAAGAAAATCATTAGTACGTATATAAAGTGAAACTGAATAGTTGATAATATACTATCCATACTTACGGTTGTTAATGGCAAAATAATAATTCTTTAATTAGACAAAGACAATACATATTGTCGTATATAATATTTAACAGAAAGAGCGATTACTTTATAGCTTTTTCTATATTACTACATATTCACATGCAGTGGCGTAACTACATTTTTTAGGCCTGTAAGCAAATTCTAACTAAAGGGCCCCTATCAACATACTAAGGGGCCCCTCTTTTTATACTCTTTACACGAAAAATGAGAAAAGGGTATATAAGGTTTGTCAAGATTTTCGTAACGTATTAAAGGAAACGTCGGAAATACCATTAAGTATATATCAGTACAGTATCAGTTCAAACTACTCTCTCAGCTTTTGAACTCTTCGAATAAAACTTTACACACACACTTTTAGCCGACCCTGTTCACCATTTGATTTGATTGAAATTGGACGTCTATTTCTTGTAGCTGTGATATATGTAAACTTAACAATCGGATATGAGGTTTCTCCGTTTTTAATAAAGGTATTTAAATAGAATTTGGTGTATACAGTACTGATATTTGCAAAAGACAACATACAAAATTATTTTCAAATGGGTTTAAATCTAGATATACCTTCCATATAAACTCTCGATTAAGACACATACTTTTCTTAGAAAAACTTTTTTATTTTATAAATAGATTTAATATTTTATTTGAAGTACATACATATTATGTACTTTAAATTTAAAATTTACGTATCTTTTATAAAATGCAATATGAAGTTATAACAACAAAAAACGTTTACAAACATTTACAGTGGGGCCCCCTAAATTCGGGGGCCCGAAAGCGTTGCTTCCAGTTGCTTCCCTGTAGTTACGCCACTGTTCACATGAGAGTTTTGCTTGTTTGTCTTGTTAGCTGTCAAAAATTTTCATTTTTCATTGAAATCAACGACAATTGACAGCTGCGATCACAACAAAACTAGTGTGAATCCAGTAATATCTTCTTTGATTAAAAGTATTGATACGAGTAGTTAAGAGAACGTTTAAGTATGACAATACAAGTAAAGAGTTGTAAATTTTCAAGCACATCGGCAAAATTATCAGTACTGAAGCAAGTATTTTAAAAGAGTATCTTTCCTCGGATACAAAAGAATTAAGTCAGTACAAATGTATTTGATATTCATATCGAGGATATTTAAGGATGAATACATTGTATATGAGAAAGTTCAGCGCTTAGAATACATAAATTTAAAACTGACACAAAGATACCCGGATAAAATATGAGGGTAATTCAAAATTTCATGACGTGTTTTAAAAAATCGAATCATTTCTTTAATGGCAATTGATCTGTCTTCCACAAAAGCTTAGTTTCATATGCTAGAAATGATTTAATTAGAAATCCTTCCAGAATATTTAGTTTCCACTTACGTCTTATCCTAACGTTATCCGTAACAAATAATTTTTAAGTGCTCAAAATTTCTTTCTAAGTACAAATCTTTGCATTTCAGTAGTCCAATTCTCAATTGTATAGATGAACTTTGTATAATAAGCTACTATAAATAGATCGCTAGATTGAACTATAGTAACTGGTTACTGTAGATAGAAATATCAAAAATAAAGTTAAGGAAATTCATTGCTTACCGCAATGAACGATTAAGCTATAGTATGTATATATATATATAACTAACTGTATTCCATTCAAATAAACCACCCTTAATGTTACCAACAATTGTAGCGACAGTATGTACCAGAGAAGATTTTCTCTGGTATGTCATTGAGTCATTGATTATTCTATTCCACGCAATTGGACTATAGCAATAATAGTCATATACGTTAAGAATCGGTTTCTTTTATTTACAAATGATTTTTAATTAAGAAATTTGTGTTTTAAGTTGATATATTCATATCGAATTGAAAAGGGGATAATAGTATCAAAATGTTGAAATCCAAAATCATTTTTAATTAATTGCATTTCAGATGTCGCCAAATATTTGTCATCAAAAACGTCTATTCTTCCGTAAATAATTCTTAAAATATAATATATCTGAATAACTTGTTTGAGAAAAAATTGTTTTATAAGTATTTTTCATTAAGTGATCTTGGCTTATGTTAAATCCAAAAATGTCAGACATTTGTCTGAAAAATATATTTAGAAAAAATTTTGGTTTCGGTAGTGTGTTTCGTATTGGTGTTTTTCAAAATTTATTTGTTTTGGTCAAAATCAATTTTTGTTTGGAATTCATTTCATATTTATGCAACAGAATTTAATATATTTGAATGCAATAATTTAAAGAGGAGACTTTAAATAAATTATGACCTTATGGTGTGAGGCTGCAAGCAAGAACTGAACAGTAAAAATAGAAAATTGTTTATGAGTGAAATAAAAACTAAAGTTTATGCGAAGAGTGTACCGTTTAAACAGAGCAAAGATCCAACGGTACCCTTGGAGCAAATATCCATCTATCATCTTAGATATCGCTTTCAACCAATATTTCAAAAATTTAGTAAAAAAATGGCTTGCTGCCCTAGTTACTATTCCTGTTATTATCCTCGCGCGCCATGTACTCCAAATATGTGTTATCCACGTATCTCTTGTTGTTCGCCATGTAGGACATCGTGCTGTTATTATCCATCGTATAGCTGCTGTTCCCCGTGCGGCTTTTACCGTGGCTGCTGTTAGAGGATAATGGATAAGCATTAACAATTCACAATGGGAAAGAAGTGACATATTTCTTTTACATGGTAAGTTTTGTAATTAATTCATTCACTTTAAAATTTGTTAAATTCAATTAAGCCGTTGCTTGATATAATACACAAGTATTTCAAGTGTATGTCTTGTGCAGTTACTAAATGTGGTTTACATGGAAAAACATAATTATGAGGCAGCCACACTTTGTGAGTCTATGGTTGTCATCTACATGATGCATAACTCTTAAATTTGTTTTTATTATTTGCTATAATTCAATTTTTCACTGCAGCATTGTTTGATTTAACAATTACGAGAGATATATTCTCCCGTGTATTATTTATTACACCACTCCTAAAAAGATAATTGTTAACAAAAATTGTTTTATTTTTGTAAAACATGTTTACATACCTGTATGTTAACATACATCACTTTTCCGTGTGTGTGAACTTATAGATTCTCATCCTTGTTTAATATCAATCATTCATTTGGCAATATCACCCAAGTTGTTTAAAAATTTTAAAGGTGCATTCGTTCCATTTAAACTTAAAAATTCCAAATAAATGCAAGATTAAATGATCCGACACGGTAATATCTTTAATAAAATTTTCGTTATATATTTAAACCTTATGCGATTGTTACGCATTTAGCGCTATCTAATCTCAGCATATAATGTGCTATCAGCTGGTATTTGATAAGAAATGTCAAAACAATTATGACAAATCGGAAGTGCTGCCAGGTTATTACAATTAAACACTTTTCAAATACTCTACAAAGTGCCAAAATATTCTTTCTGAGTGTTTTACCATAAACATACAAATAAAAAAGTTTGTAACGTGATAAACGTAAGTGGTTTTTGTTAAGTGAATGTTTATATATATGAATATATCTAAAATATATATCTAACTACTGTTTTACAAGTAAAAGCAAAAAAATTAGAGAATTTAAAAACATTTCTCTGCTTGTTAAGTCACAAATTTTTTTTGTATATTTTTTTCTATGTACTTAGTTTCACTAACAAAATTAGAATATTTGTAATAATTTTGGATTCATTTTTAAAAATTTTCTGTTAATATACATCCTACCAATAAAATAGTTTTATAAATTCTGTCTGAATGATGCAAATATGTTAGCATTTTAAAAGAATTTTCTACAGACAGAAGTTACTATTAACTATTATTTAAGAAATGGTTCTAGTACATCCGCTATATATTCTAAGTGAACAAAATCAAACGCTCATCTATAACAATCACATGAGAAAATCCTCTCAATTAAGCCGATGATTAATAAAAAAATTGTATTAATTCTGTTGAAAAAGTAATGTAAACATTATCTGAAGGCATAAAAAATGGAGTCGAAAAAGAACAAAAAAGTTTCTGGATATAAAAATTCTAAAACAGAAGGAGCTAATGGTCAGCGCTTAAAAGGAGCAGGAAAGTTTGCTGAAATTGAAATTCGCAATGTTGAAACCGATTCAAGTAAAGAAAGTGATGCTACTAAGAAAATTGAATCTCAAAAATCGAGTGTATCAAGTAAGTCAAAAAAATCTGACTTAAGTGATGTTTCTGACGAAATCGTCATATCGGAATTTAAAGATAAAAGCTCCTCTTCATTTGAAGAAAATGAAAGGAAAAATGTGAATAAAGCAAAACAGTTAAAAAACTCCAACAATAATAATTCAACCGATGATACAAATAATAAATTGGATGATTACAAGTTTATTGCATTGACTAAGTGGGTCGACATCAAGGATAAGCCAAATTTGAAAGATAGTGTACGCCAAAGTTTTGTAAATGAATCAAGTGAAACAGACGTGGAAAATCAATCTAAAAATAAAAAAAAAACTGAAAATTCTGAATCTGGCCGTAGACGTAACTACGATAAGGCTTCTAATACTAGTTATCAAGCGAATTCCAGTTCAAATGGAACTACCCATAAAAGCGGAGATACCAGTGAAGATGAAGACAGTCAACCTTATAACAATTATCTAAAACAGAGTTGTTCTCTTCCAACACTTACAAGTCTTAAGGCACCAAATGGTATAGAAAAATTGAAGCGTCAGTTAATGGGAAAACTTTTAGAGACTGCAATGTGCAGGCGTAAAAGTAAATGGAGTTTTAGAAGAAAATGTTGTAAGCAACCACCTCCACCGTTACCAGTTGAAAATCTTACAAAAGGCTGTGTTATTCAACAAATTTTACATTACAATGAATCAGATGAAGATTCGTGTTTTAGTGATACTAGCGAAGACGATGGCTCTAATGCTAGTATTCATTATAATAGTCCTTGCTGTGATTCTTTTACTCGTCATTGTAGTTCTAACTGCTCATCTCGTTCTTCATATAGTGGTAATTACGGTATGCAGAGTGAATGTGGGCAAAGTCCATCCTATTGTCCAACCTATTATAATCCATATTACTGTTCGGGATATTGCTATCCGCAGTGTGGCAATATGTGCTTTAATCCTTATCCATTTCCTATGGAAGCATCAACAAACTATTGTACAAATAACTTTGCCTGTCCAAAGCCAAACAAATGTAAGTGTTGCGTACAACCGACAATAAATGAAAACAATTGTAAATTAAAGCATTGCAGTTTTTCATCACATGCTGATGTAGAACAGTGCAACGGTTTTGGGGAACCATTTGCAGCGTATTTTCCGCAGGCTTCAGAGGAGACCGTTTGCTATAAGTGCAAGGCTGTGCCAAGCAACTCGTCAGGAAGAGCTTGCTGTTCCAGATCCGATAAAATTAAACTACTACAGAATAGTAACTCATATATATCCGTTAAATCAGAAGTCGACAAAAATGAGCTTTGTGACGTTAACAATAAAATTGAATAAAAATAGTTGGTAAGTGCAAATATTTTTCATTAACATTGGAATAAGTAATATTTTTCATGAGCTAAATGCTTGACTATTAAGAAATATAAGAACTTTGACAGTATTGGGTATAAGAAACATGATTATATATATGTACATATAATATGTTAAGTATATATAATATCGCAACTGTAGATCGAAAATTTTCTTAAGTTGCTCATTGTATCTTTTAATTGCAAATGTTTATTGTCTGCATTCGGACTTAAAATATAGCATTAAAGATATACATTTTTTAAAGAATTCTATGATATTTTTGTCAGAAAATTAACTTATTCGTATATGTCAAAACAAAAAAAATTAAATTATAGAAATTATTTAAAAATGGTTGTTACATAAATTTCTGATACATACATTTGGCAATGTCAAAATTATAATGTTGCTATTTAAATTACTCCGTGCAATAAGAAGCTCAGCTGCTATTTTAAGTGTAGTGTAATTAACCATATTTATCGTTAAATGTTAAATATGTAAAGTGTATTTAATGAAGATACATATAAATTTATATCAATAATGTCTATGGGCAGTCGCCTACCAGGTTGTTATTGCAGACCTCCAGTAGTAGGTTTTGAAGTGGCATTTCGATATCCATCAATTAATAGCAAAAGAATAACGATTGGTAAAAAAAACAGACATAGAAGCCCAGCCGACTTGTATTACAAAGGATTGGCTTCATTAAATAAGGAACACAGCTTAAATAATGGCAATCAACGGTTAAATCACTCACGAGAAGATCATACACAAAATTCTAACTATCAACGTAAACCTCACTCACCGAAAGAACCTCCACCTAACCTTACGAACCAAAAAGAACCTGACAATTCTATATACTGTACCATTCCTATAAGACCAAGCATAGTAACTATAAGGAATAATATGTCGTCTTCAGAACAAAAACATATCAATACACGAAATAATGAAAATTCTGATTCTGGACATAAAATTGCAAGGTCAGATGTTGAACCGCGTAGTGCAAATGCCAACTATAACTTCTTTGAAAATAAAGACAATTCTCAAGAATATGCATCGTTGCGCATGGCTCTTTCAATAACAGTTCCAAATTCTCAAAATGATTCTTCATCTTTTGCAAGAGAGAGATTAACGGGTATAGTATTTAATCAAAAATCATCCAAAGAAATAAGTACGGTACCTAGTGATGACTCTAAATATAAAGATAACACCAAATGTAAAAGTAACTCTGATAATACAGATAATAGTCATCATAGTGATGTTCATAGTCATCAAAGTGATCATAGCCACCATAGTCATCGCAGTCATTGTAGTGATCATAGTCATCGTAGTGATAATCATAGTCATCAAAGTGATCATAGTCATCAAAGTGATCATAGTCACCATAGTTATCGCAGTCATCATAGTGATCATAGCAAACGTAATACCAATGAGGTTAGTTGTAGTCGAAATGGTTGTGTTTGTCCTAAAGAAGAACAACGAAGGAATTTTGGGATGAGGGGTGAACAAACACCAGGTAGAAGTAGAAAACAAACAAAATGTACACATTCCAAGGACAGTTATAGTCGAAGTATATCACGTAACATTGAAAATAGAAAGTACAGTGATTTTAATTATGCACCATGTAATGGGGAAGTACGTACAGAAAACGAAGAATCAATAAATAAAAATGAAAAAAAGCAGATGGGGCGCAACACTTCTGAAGTTGAAAAACAAAAAACTGAAAACACGAAAAAAGCTTCAAATCAACATAGAGAAATAAATGGTGACAAGTTTTTGGAAATTGATAGAACTCAACACGGTGTGCACAAAGAAAATAGCGGATCAATAAAAGATAAATCCAGTAGTAAAAGTATAACAACTGCAACTTACTTGGATGTGAGTCAAGCGCAACCCTGTCTAAGTAGTCAACAAAGCAAGTCATATACCAGTGGTAGTAGTGGTAGTAGTATAACAGCAAGAACCTATTTGGATATTGACCCAGCTCCGCCGAAAAAAGAAAAAAAAGAAGAAAAAAGTCCAACTCACTTAAATTTCTTTGAAAGAGATTCTGAAGTTACAATAAAGAGTCGTTCTCAAACTGAGTCAATATATTTTTTCCCTGAAAAGGAACCATGTCGAAATAAAGCTGGAGCTGTGCCCAATTCAGTCAGTAAAAGAAGCAATGTCAACTGCATTGAAAAAGAGAGAGATCGATATAATTCTGCTCATTCATCACAACCTAAACGGAATTCATCGCCTACTGGACGTCAGGTAAAACAGCCATCTTTTAATTTTTTTCTAAACAATAAAGACTATAATACAACAGACATGAGCTCAGAGAAAAGCAACTGCGTAACTGGAAATAGTATTTTGCAGAAAAGTGATAAAAAACAGGGTTTACAAAAAGATAAACTAGCTAAAAGCAATTCGAGCATTTCATTCGATTTAGAAAGAAAACATCCTAGAAAAATTTCAAATACAAAATTGATTGAAAGTAGAAATCGTCGTCCGATGAACTGCCGTGCGAGGCATAATCAAACTAAACGTAATAAAAACCACGAAGTTGGTATTTCTCAGCATAAACCTGGCACTAGAAATACTGAAAAATACTTCCCTACTAGCAATAT